AATAAATTAGTTTAATTTATTTCCCTTTAAATCGAGAGTATGTACCATCTAAGACGTGTGCTTATGAAAGAAAATGCTAAAAAAAGACGCAGATCGTGCACACGTTAAATTAAGAAAAATAAAAGAAAAAAATTCTAATCCTAGGTGTGTCAGCAAAAATATAGTGCAGCTAAAATTAGAATTGCTTAATTAACTTTGACATATAAACTGCTTTATCTTAAAAAATAGTTTTCTGTGTATAAAATGTGTCATTCAAGCATAACAAGTAGCAGTTGTTGAACCGTGTTGAATATAACAGCTGTGTCACATTTACAAAACTTTCACGTGTATTATTTGCTCGACAAGAAATCAGAAATATTAATATATTAGAAACATAGTTTGCTTACTAAGGGCCGTATTCCAGAACTCTACTCAATGCTCAAGTCAGGATTTGAGTATGGTTTAAAGCACTCGAAATCATACTCAAGTCCCTGCCATTAGCGTCGTATTTCCAGTGCTTGTGTTTCCAGTGCAATCCTGACTTGAGCATTGAATAGAGTTCTAGAATACGTCCCTAAGAATAATCTTTCCCTTGCTGGATTTAATTTTATTGTATAAACAAAGGCATAGGCAAATTATTCACGTGGTATTCTGCTATCATAGTGGTAATATGGTGTCAATATAAACGTGAAACATCTGTTATATTTCAACAAAGTCAAACTACTGTCCAATTTATCTGTAGATTAAAAGTTACTTCTAGTAATATAACGGTAGTCAAGTGTAAATACTTTTTTTATATAGGTACTGTAAAAGACGGGTGATCAACGGTGTTGCTCGATTCGGAGATAGCGAACTTGTTACTTATTATATACTTAATACCTTTATATAAAAAATGTTGTAAGTGCACTTTGAGTTACGGAACTATATAAGTATTTATGTTTCTATTGTATGCTTAGTAGATTCTTCGTCGTTGTTCGTTGTATATATAAAATTATGTACAACAAGTTATCTAATGTATAGCTTAGAAAATGCTACAAAATGTATTATTTTTATAAAATACTGTCGGTATAATTAGGTTTTTAGGGTATTGCTTTTGTTTAATTGACTTTTTAAGTTTATATTATTAACAAAGACGAAAAATCTGCTACAGTTATCTTGCTTATTATATATTTGTTAATATATAACCTATAATTACTGAGGTACTATTGGCGGATTTGAAACTATTGCTATTAACGGCAATTATTATTATTCATTGTTATATTAAAAGTGGAAGATACTGTTATATTATTAAAGCTATAACTCAAGAATATATCGACTTATTTGAAAGATCACAGCTGATATAAAATCCTGTATACTTAATAAATATTGTAAACAACAAAGAAATTAGGGCCGTTGCTAAAAAACAAGAAATATATTATCATTTATATACAACAAAACATGTATATAACTGAAACATTTATTATCTACAATGTAAAGTCGATGTATTCTTAAACGATGGATTCGCTATTCCCGATCGAGCAATTATAGTTTTATTTTATATTTAAATAACTATTGCATTAACTGGTGTAGTCTACTTTCCAATTTACATCTCATAAAAGATATAAATTAAAAACTATGACCAATGGGAACTATTGCATTTTAAATATGGATTATGGTTCAACAAAAAAATATAATGTATGGGAAAAAACTATGTAACAAACGTTATAACTTAATTTGACATTTACAATATCTATATATTTATTGTAGTATATAATGAGCACGTATATAACTTGTTCTGTTTATGTCGTGCCATAATTAAAAACACGCGGAAAAAGAAATTGCCTAAAAAGATATATAATATTCCACTATCTTCTCGCTACAATTCACTTTAGAACAGTTTCATTTACGGTATTAAATCATAATGGTGATTTGGTATCGATATTGTGTGATCATGGTTCTGCATTTATGAGAATGCTACTATAGAACCAACACGGTGTTAGGACGGTATTACTGATAAAGATACCAGTCCGGTAGAAGCATGGTTCTGACGTGTTTTGTCAAAATGGTACCAGTATGGTATTATAATATGGTATTGGTTGGGCAAAATAGATAGAGCATCGATAATGAAAGGCTTATAGAGTTGCTCTGATATTCGTAGATATACAATTTTATATATCTTTTTCAGTCACATTATTTATCCTAGGTAGGTTAGAGTACAGAATTGTTACTATTAATACATTAAAATTAAACAATGGAGGTATAATACTTAAAATAACTGGAGGTAATACTTATTTTTAAAAGCAAGATTTTGTGAATAATTTGTGAACTTTGATCAACAAAGGTAGATTGTTTAAAATTATAATGTTGCCTAGATCCTGTTCAAGAAATATTTTTTTTATAATATATTTATTGGCTTTGGCAGTGTGTTTATTGTTATTTTAAAACGACATGAGGGATTTTGTAAAAGTGATAAATTGTATACTTCGAAATGACTTCAAGGGGATTAACGATGTTAGTTTAAAAATCGATGAGGTATTTTTATACGTATGATGTTATACACTAAGAAACATTAATATACTATAGCAATCTAATTTTATTTATCGTGTAAATATCCCCAAGAGTCTGCATTTTAGTGCATTAATCTATATATTTACTTACTGTAGGCTATTGTAATAGTTGTACTGTTCAAAAGGCATCCCGTTGTTCGTTTGTGTATTACCCTACTTAGTAAAACAGTCTGTAATGATAGTTCTATGTCAAACTTAACACATCGATCTATGGCGAAGAAGCGGAAAGAATCGAAAATTTCGATTTATTACTTTAAAAAAAAAGCTTTCTCACTTAATATCTTACTATAAAAAAATGCAGGATTTTGGTATAAATTGCAAAATATAAAATACTTTTTTATTGTTTCGCTGTATAATCCTCTTCCACTAGCGATATTTACCTTCCATTTTTTTTGAATTTCATGGCTTCGAGCACAGTATTTGCCGACACATAATATCCAAACTTAACTGAAATTTCTAATCCATAAGACCTAATAACAATCACCAACGGCCGTCTCCGAATTTGATGTAGTCCGCAGCTGTCAACTGAGATCACAAAAATTTAGAATTACAAAACTCCAAATAATAAAATTGGTGGGTAAAAACTAATCCATGACGTTCCAACGAAGCAGTCAACAAGAAGCCTAGAAACAGCCAAATCAATAAAATAATTGCACAGCGAAAACAACGTACGCAAACACTAAACACATTATGAGACTACGTCTAAGTTTGTCTAATAATAAATCCATTAGTAGAATATATAAAAATCCTTTCCATTAATGATTTTATCTATTTACTATTTAGTTAATAATATCACGAGGCTTCTATTCCCGACGATGCCACGATACTTCCATTATGTATTTAGTCACTAACTTATAATTATTTACAATTCAATCTACCCGCTTGCTTTCCTCATTTAAGCTCCAGCTAAACGATGATGTTACCGAACGATGTTACAGCGATCTAACGATTCTAATAGCCAGAATGTGTAACATTCCAATAAAAATTATAAAACAAAATAATATATTTGAGGTATCAAAAACACGGAGGTATATGCGTTCTAAACCAAAGACAACCTCGTTAATATTTAGTAGAGACAAATATTAGGGGAGCCGTTAAACTAGCTCGCAGAAAAATCTACGCTGAGGTTAAAATGCAAGTTAACTTAAACTATTTGGATAAACCAAATTAAAATTCCATTAAATGTAGTCATATCACAAAGTACGAATAATTATGTAACATTCCGAAATGAATATAATAAAAACTTAAATTTAAATCCTTATCCCGAGTTTGCTAAATATTCAAAATGTAAATGCACAAAATAATATTGTAATAGAGTTGCATTAGTTTGCATTGTTGGTGTTAAAATAAATATTATGTTCTATTTTCCGTAATATTGGACTGAAAAATGTTTTAAAAACAATTTCACTTTGAGTGACTGATATGTTCTCCAAAGATTATCGAAATGCTGATTTTTTACGTAAAGGATATGGCACAATATTAAATTTAGTTTTTAGGTTTTTATTCTGTTAAAAAATGTATTGTAATAAATGCATCTTGGCAATTGTTTGTCTGCAGTTATCTCGTTTTCTTTGGCTTTGTGAAATATCACGGTGTTATTATACTTCGTACGTACGTTAGAGAAATGTATGTGATATGTCGGTTTAAGTTTCGGTCCTGTCTTTGTTAACATGATATTTAGTTTCGCGCTAACCCTGAATAGATATGTTTATCGTATTTTCCAGACAAATGCGGTAATCGAGCATTTTCCCACGATATATTAAAATAAAATTTTTTTTTTTTACAATCTGCAGCCATCTTATGGTTATTCCTAAGATTTTTTTTTGAGAATAATATAATAATAATAATAATCTAATAAATTTTCAATAACGAGACGTCCGCTACGTTGGTCGACGTTAAATTAGAACCACTATACACTCACAGAGAGAAATCCGAAAATGGATACAGATTAAATATAATTCTATTCATAATACCTATATCTACGTAATTTTATACACAAGAAACAATAATGTTTGTTTCATGATTTGCAATCATGCACACGTATACGATCGTCGAACTGCTTTTCGAAGACCCGCTCTCAGGCATTTGCTGCGCCACTATCCCTACAGCTCTGCACCCTGTACCCAAGGATCGTCTCGCCGCGCGTGCGCCGACGTCGCGCGACGCGCGCCCGTGTCGTATTCCATGGTTGTTCTCTTCCGTTCGTTCGCTGTCTGCTCGCCACCCGACCCAGTTCGGCACCCAACCTCCTCTAACGGCATGAAGACGAACGAAGGCACGGCTACTTATACATTCATATTAAATTTATCTTATTGAAGCCAAAACGCACATAGAGTACACATATTGTTCATTAGACGTTAAATTTTGTACTTTCGAAATCAGATTCTAAGAAGTCTTTAATTTTTTTACTCAACATCAACAGTATCATTTAGTCTAAAATTTTTTTTTATGTAATTAACACCTAAATAATCTGTATTTTCATTAATTTAGATTTGGCGTCCGAAAAAAGTTTCTTTAAAAAATATTTTCTTTGCATTTAAAAATTTACTGTTAAAATTTGTACGTTCGTTTTTTGTACAGTTACCGATTCTAATTTGACACTAAACATTTATCGAATAGTGATTAAAATATGTTTTTTTTTCTCTTTAGAATACAGTTGGCATAAGTTTGGCAGTACTAGAAATAATACTTTAGTATTGCTCTGGATTACATTGTCATCTTGAACACCGAGTGAACATTTTCTCTAGAAAATGCCAGTAACGTTTCGTCCTATAGATTAGTCACAAAGCGAAGTCCGACCGTCGAAGCGTACACTAAACGACTTCTACAAGTCGCGTGCAACAATACTGTTTACGTAATTTAAAACTAACGTCAATATTTTACTAATTATAATACGATTAACCATTAAAATGCGGCATAGTCCTGCATCGTTTTGGCATAGTCCGTAATATTGCACATTGGAGTGGTATCCCGTTCGAGTCCTTGTCCGTGCCGCGGCGCGTCGGGCGGGGCGGGCCCGCGCGCGCGCCGCGGGCTGTTCCCTCCGGTTCAGGCCATGGGCTGAGGTCATTGCAGCCCGGGCGGCAGCTGCGGCGCGTGCTCGCTGGCGCCCAGGTCGAACAGGTGGTGCGGCGCCGGCGCCAGCGCGCTGTGCAGCGCCGACGTCTTCAGCAGCCGCTTGAGCATGCCGCTCGATCCGCGGTGCTGCAGGCTCTTGTGCGTCGTCAGCGAGTTCTTCGTCCTGTATCTCCGGTGGCAGAACTCGCACACGTACAACGTGTCGGACTGCTCGTGCTTGTCTTGGAAGTGTCGTTTCAAGGAATAGTAACAAGAGAATGTCCTGCGGCAGTAGGGACACTCTTGCGGCTCGTTGATTCCGCCGGCCGTCGGCGGGGGCATACGGAGGGGCGGTACAGCTGAAAATCAAATACACATATTATTTTTGCACATTTCTTCTCGTAATTTGCTCTCTCCCCGCATTCGGAGTGATCGGTGTTAGCTGGCAACATTCAAAACAGTTAGGGAACAAATTCGAAAACCGAATATGCTTTCATATTACCATTATAATAATACGTAGAATGTATGAGGTTAATAATAATAAGTAATAATTACATACTAATATATGCACTGTACACATTGACTAACTACACAGTAATCACGAGTTTTTATATTCAAAATTTTAGGAAACTCTCTCAACCACAATGACACAGAAACACGTGATAACAAAAATGATAGAAGCATGCTCCAAGCAACACAACAACGTCAAAACTGCGAAACCCGATGGGAGGGGGCCTTTGGCTTAGGGAGGTAAAAATAAAGAAATTTTTCAAACAAAAACGTAAGGAAAAGTAAAAATTCAAACTGAAAAATAAGGTTTTAACCCTGTCCTAGTGTTAATTCTATTCGAGAATCGTTAGTCGTTGTTAGGAGCTGTACCCTAGTGAGTTGTGGTACAAGTGGAAGTTCTAACCTTTGGCGATGGTAAGTACGGCTGTGGAGAGTCGGCCGTTCTGTTGGTTCTCTTTGCTAGATGGGTACTGCCGCAGGCCGCGCCAACTCCGTCCGAGTAGTCACTAAAAAAACCGCCCGATTGGCTCGGTCTCCCCCGGCCTTGACTTGTGGTAGGTGTATATATGGGTCATCAGCGAATTCCTCGAGCAGTATACCCTCTCGCAAATGGTGCATCGGTACTCCTCTTGCCTCTCAGCGTGTTTGTCGGCGATATGCCGCTTCAGGGACGCCTTTGAGCACAATACCTTCCCGCATAGCGAGCACGAGAATAACTTTTTACCTGGAAACAGATCGAAAAAAACAAAAAAATATGGGGTTGCGCCCCGAACGCGTAAAACAAAAGAATTCGTTAGGCCTAACACGGAATTCGGAATTTCATTTTTGAAATTGTTCAAAAAGTTCTCTTTTTCGTTTAAAAATTAAAAACTGATTAAAGGAATTGAAATTATAGTGACTTAAAATTATAATAAAAATAAATTGTAAAAGTAAAAGAAAATAATAAATAAGAAATGATGGCGAAGCTACGGTGGCCAATGATTTTGTGTTATAACAAACAACATGCACAAGAAGCGGAAAATATAAATGAAAGGCCGTAAAACAGGTATTGCAAGCGTGACGGTAATAAAAAAAACCGTGCGTTGAAAAACAAAAAATTCTAACGTCTACTAAAAAGCTGGGAAAAACCAATATTTAACAAATGCATGGTGGTTTCAAAGGTGTTTAATAAAACTGACAATATTTTTGTGTATTTGTTTTTATTAAAAACGCCATTATCATCGATATTAGGATTTATGAAGTCGGTTTAACGATTACAATTACACTTTATGAGTAGGTAGTTACGTCAAGTAGTTTAGTTAAAAGTAAGGAAGGAAAAGAACTATTTTATTTGATATTTATACATAATTATAGAGGTAGTGGGAACATATTTTGATAGCTATGAATATTTGCAGCCCATTATATAGATTTGATGTTATTTCGAGCGTTTGCTTACGTCACGCAGATTTTGTTCAAACTATAAATAAGTTGTTAATAATATCTAAAAATAGGAAAAACAGGTTTGACAACTTATACACAGAACTAGGATAGTAATAGACTTTTAAAACTGGCAAACAGTCAAACCTGGTTAACTCAGAAAATTTGACACTTTGGATATTGGATAAACTCTTATCGCATGCGACATAGAGTTGATCTTAAGTGTTATGCTTGATATGCTCTTGGCCATACCAGGGTTATCAAAATTAAATTTTATCATAAATGTAGGGTGTATCGTGGAGTTTTTAATTTCGAATCGTTTTTCTAAACGATTCTTATAATCGTTATATTTGAAACAAAATCTGTGCGGCGTAGAATAAGCTCACGTAGTTGCCGCAAAACAATTACTAACATTTAATAAAAAAACGTATTTCATACAATGGAAGACAAAAACAAAACACCGTATTTTGGCACTTTTCACAATAATAACATAAGCTAAAATGGACTGCATTACACAGGGGCCAATTGTCAACAAAAAAAAACCTATACAAAATTCGGACAGAATAATAATTTAAGAAATAATATAAAATTTCAATACAACAACCAAATAAATTAATTTAGATCCCTTAGAAAATAAGTAAAAATGCCAACAAGAAGTATAAGAACACATAGGGTCGCCCAGCGAGCGCGGGGGAATGAAAAAAAAAACATATTAACCTTAATTCGAAAGATAAAAACTTAAACAGGTCACAGATACAGTCTTACACTTGCTAAATTCCTAACTAATGCAGTTTTTGACAGGGATGTGTTCTGCCTGTTTAGAACACGGTATAGTTCTTGCCCAGTAAAACCCACAGACCCTAGGTCTTATGAGATCCGTTAACTTAGCACCTAACTCCAACCAAGATCATATAATCACATGTCAATTTCGAGTTAATACAGAACCGAAACACGCCCGACTTTCAGCCACCGCGGCGTTTTATAAAAATTATTTAAATTTAGTAAATAATTGTACAATTTTATTTTTATCTACAAAATACGCCTAATAGTGTACAATTCGAACGCGTACTTAGTCTAATCAGTCTATAGCGTTATTAAATTTTGGCAATCCTTTATTTTCAGCGACAAATTTCTAAATAAATTCTCAAGTCGTTCTATTCCTACGACAATGATACCTTTTTTTATCTTTAGTACACGTATTTTGGAACTTAACTTTACAACACTAAAAGTGCTCCTATTTAGTTGAAATACGGTGAGTTGTTCACTCTAGATAACAGAGAATTGAAGGAGAAAGATAGACAAGGAAGGCCTAGACGTAGTTATTTAGATAAAAAAAGGGAAAAGTCAATATTTCGTCGTTTTAGGAACTCAACGTTAGGCTCTAGGTCTTAAACAAGAAGAAGCAATGAGAAAAATGGCAGAAAATCCAGCTAGACCAGTTTCATCAAGTGCATTAAGAAGAGACATAATCAGGTAAAAAAAAAAACGAGCCCACGTCTGCAAAAAGGTTAGAACAGAGTAAAAAATATGTTTTGGAGCTAGAGTTTACAACACAAAAACTGTTTCTTTTCAGTTGAAGAATGATGGATTTTTGGCACCAGTGTATGATTGACCACCTGGCGAACTGATGGACACGGACTGCTAGATGTGGTTTCGGGTTCCTTTCTTTAACTAATTATATCACATCTTTTGATTTGACCAGTCTGGCCTTATAAGGAAAGTTTCAATCGGAAGACCAGGAAGCAGAAGCCATTATAGAGTCATAAAGGCACAATTTCAATTAAAAATAGTGACGCATTTTGAGCTGTAAAGACAATAATACATTTACAGCTCTAAAAGCGCCCCTTTTCAGTTTGAAATTGATGTATTTTGACACAACAATAATTAATTTTGAATCGAAAATCCATTGAAGGGTTATAAAATTCAGTTTCTCCGTACGTGTATATAGATTTGGTATCAAAAGCAAATTATGACCGTACTGCCTTAGCAGCACATCCCTGTAATCGTAAATTAAACACGTAGTCATGCTAATCTATACGAATCAGATAAACCTTAAGCCTAGTTAGTCAACTAACTTAATTCCCAAACCCAAATTAACAATAGAAACTATTATCTAAGTTACTAGATAAAAAACAACAATTCTACGTTCAAAAATTGCATTTGTTGCAAATAAAAACTTAACAGTTTTTTTCCCACGGAATGCTTTGCGAAAAATTTTACAAAATTTTCTCGTTGAATTTCCGTTTCCCTTAAGATTTTTTTTTCTAGCACAAACGTTCCAATTTAGCACCAAAACCCTAGTCTTGCAATTTTGTAAAGTATCATAATAAAGCTTACTAAATCACTAAACAATTGTAATGGCTAAGCATTTATGTATGTAGCAATAACAACAAAACCTTATAACATACAAAATAGCATATTAAAATTTTATTTAGGAAGCCTCTCATACTTGTTAAAGGTAGAGTATAAAGCATCATCCATTACTAGGTCGCTAGTATTTTTTTTATTAAACAAATTTTGATTAAATCTCACTGGTTAACAATGCAAAAAATGTCGATTCAGGTGAAAAAAAAAAAAATTTCAAGTCGAAAACCAATTTTGTTTGTATTTTCTAAACTAAACTAAAATTTTCTTATAGATGAATTTCTCAATCGTTTAATAAAAAGAATACTTAGAAGTGTTCGAAACACTACTTCTAAAGTTTAGAATTTACGCAAGATTTGTCTTTTTTTGACGAAAAAAACACATGTTACATAATTATGTAAAGCAGGCACTAAATTACTTAAAGTGTATATTGTTATAATAAATTATGTTGTTTACATTTACAAGTACCTTATAGTTATTAAAAAAGAAATGTAACAATAGTCGGTTTAAAATAGTGATGCATTACTGTACTAGATTAGTTACATTGTGTTGTGTTACAGAAATGTGGAAATATCATTCAGAAATTTAATTGTAACAACATCGAGTTTAGAAAGACAACAATAATATGAAAAACATAAAAAGTTTGTGCAGTCGTACTTTTCGCACGAAATTTTTCATATTTTTTACATTATCAGGGTGCATAGGATATTTTTATAACTTTGTAATCGCCAAATAAATTAAAATTGTAATATGTAAATATTTAAATACACATTTTTGTAACATCCTTTAAACTCAACATTGATTTTGCTTTATGTGAATGATTTTTTCAAAGTTTTTAGAAAAATGTTACTAATTTCGTAACAGGTAAAGGTGAAGAATTTTAAATTGTCATTGTTACATAAAGCTGTTTACATAGCACATTTGTAATGATACAAAAATACTTAATATTGGATTTAAATATAATGTGGGTGACAGATTCTTTCACCTGCTTTGGAAAACGTCATAAATTACGCGTCATGAATTGAAATTTTGAATACTTACTAATTCCACCATTCCAGTTTTTAGTAGATTATTCTTCTAAATAGCCTCTGACAGGTTCGTGCTAATTATAAAAACCTACGATAAACAGATTTAACAACAGTTAGTTTAAGTCTGTGGTATGTATATAGCCTCTAGTATGTTCCAGAATTCGTAATATGTCGAGAGCCTGTTTTTCCTGATTACAAAGGAACCAAAAAGGATAGTATTGTTTTTCCACGAGAAAGTCATTCACATAAGACAGTTTATTCTTATGGCAAGCGAAAACAAACATCTGATCAAAGATTTTTGCACAAAAATGTAGGAACATTTAACACTGAGAATTATTAAACTTTATACTATAACCTATTTTTATGTATTATAGTGATAATAATAATATTATAATGTGTAATTTAATTACAATTGTACAACGTAATAGCAACATAGTTTGCAAGTATAGTAAATTTACAAAAAAGTTGCAATAGAAATTAAAAAAAAAACAATTAATAATGTTAAGTCAATTTATTTACTACCATTGTTAGGCGACTTCTGTCAGGCGAATGGTTTCAAAATTTTAAATAGGTTTTGTTATATTCAGAATCTATTTTTTATATAGCTACTGGAAGATTATGTCGTGCACCCGGTGGTAAGCGACAATTGCAAGGCACAATTTAAAGTAACCCGCATCCCAAAGCTTACTACGTACACGTACACCATAACAATTTTTGAAGCTAAGTTTAATATGAGCATTCTACGTTCCGGTTTTGTAAGGGTGCTGGTGAAATTAGAGGCATATGGTATTCGTCAACTTATGTCTTAGGGTGACGGGCGCACTGGCAGTGCCCCTCAGATGTTTGCAATTTAAAGCTCTGAGTGGCACTGCAAGTGTTATTATGAACAGGCGTCTAGCTTACCATCAGTCATATGTATAAAACTATGTAGTTGTGTATTCTAGTCCTTTGGAGCAGAATACATAGATCAATTCGATATGTTTATTTTTAATATTTTATTTTTTTGCAATGCATGTCCAATAAAGTAATTTTGAATTTGTAAACATGCCTAATAAACCCGAATACTTTTCAATAAATATTTGTGAACAGGTTAATTTCTAATAATTTTCCCAAAGTTAACGCGCAACAGTGGGTCGTATCGACACAATGTCCTGGCCAAAGCTGCCAAACCACGGTAGCCAATAAATATAATCAACGAAACAAATTAATAAGAAAAACGAACACAAAATAGGGGAAAGTAACTAAAAGTAACAATTCTGTTCGTCACACTTCCTTAAACTAAACTAATTTGATATAAAAAATATCATTAAATCGCTTTACACTTGTTAACGCGCGGTCGTGACACCTTCATATTTACTCGCATTTAAAAAAAATATTCGTGACTTACTAGTGTAAATATACTCGTATTTTCAGTTTGGGTATCATGGAGGCATTGATAGGGTTGCTTTTAAATCAACTCGGGTAGTGTTTGTAGTGTATTTGGTTTTTATTATTATAACACTTACTATACTATCGGAGAATGATGATTTAGTATAAAGAGTTACCAAATGTATCGTCGTAAGTAAGAATGTAGATAAGAAGTTAATTTTTCTAAGGGAAAATGTTCTTGATTTCATCAAAACTAAATTTAGTTTTAGGAACTGTGTCGAACAGAATTGTAAACGCCTAAACTAAAAAATATTTATAATAAAATAGCCATATTTACTTTGTTAAATGGCACCTCGCGAGTTACTTGCTATTTTGCTTTGCATTGGATAAGGAAAAATACAAAGTTATTGCAAAATAGTTTTAATAAAACTTAATTAATCTACTCATGAATATTAACAATTTTTATTATACTTTTGGAAATTTGCGACTACAAACTTCTATGCAAAAGCTGCATTTGTATGTTTTTTTAAGTAAGACAAAAATTGTTTCTATTGACGAGTTATCATGCCCTTCAAGTTTTATTTCCGCTCTGTTGTAACACCATGTATAAAAAGAAGGGAACGGAAAGCTCTATAAAATTGATAACAAACGAATCAAAGTACAGTTTACAGAAAGCGAAGTAACACTTTAGAATTTTATCTACTTATGAATTGGAATAACGTTCCTTTTCCAATTTGAGGAAAGATTCACGAATAACTTCAACATTCTTATAATGAATTGATGCTTAATGTAAAGTTAGAAATTTATATTCCAAATGGATACTGAGAATTGACCGTTGGAACATTTTTTAATGTTTATTTATGAGCCAAAATCTGATATAAGTTATCGAAATGGTGTTCTGCAGGGATCAATATTTGGGCCAATTCACATTTACTTCCGAAAATTTGGTGTTCCTTAGGGCTCTATATTTGGGCCACTGTACTTTATTGTTTATAACATCTTCAACGGATTCAAGTGAGTATAACGCAGTTCTCAAATATAGACCAAAATATCCTAAGTTTTACTCACTTTCATGTAAAACTGAGAGGAAAATAATAATAATAAATTAGTATAGTTTTCATCATGTTGCGCGTGTCTGTGTAGTCCTGAATTAGTGTTGTATTTATTATGTATTATCCGGTTTGTATATATAATTTGCTTTCTGCGGGTTCCATTATGACAACAAAACGTCCTTCGACATTGGTGCTATATCTTCAGTCTTTCACTTAAAGAAAAAAATCATCTAGACATAAATTTGAAGCCTCATCCAGCCAATGTATACATCTGTATATATCTTTTATATTTTTTTAAATAGTTTTTAGTAATCTCGTATAAATATCTAAGAGTGAGATCATTCAGATAGAAATACAGAATAAATAAATTGCAAAATGCCAAAAATGAACACAATATTGAAACAATTTGCCTCTTTAGTTACTTACGCGAACACTGTTCTTTTTTATTTAAGCCTAATATTATATAAATTTACAGCACCAAGATTTTTATCTTTTCTCAAAATATTAATTTTTCTCTTCGCCTTATTGTCGCACATTTTAACATAGTGTAAGATTCAGGAGTTGTCGTTAGCCGCAGTATTGCAATTATTGGGCTTTCGTGTCGCGGTAAAACTGTTTCTGTCGAATTTTTGAGAAAAAACTTCTCGAGTGTCGCCCTCGCGTCTTTCAAGTGGAATGTCAGTGTAAATTATAGTTGTGATGATACATCATTGTCATGATCGACTCCCGCCACGCGGCGTCCACAAGTTCAAAGATCCCTATTAAAACTAAATAGTGTATAATGAAAAATTCTTAACGTAACAATATAACGAATCCGATGTCGGAGAATAAAATAACTAAAATATTATAACTAGAATAATTATTATTTAAAGAAAAACTTTACCTTCGAATTGATTAGACGTTAAAACTTAGACGTTGAACTGATCTTTGAACTTGTAGAAGTCGATGTTGTGGTGGGGGGGAACGATCTTGGTGTCGGCGGCGGAGAGGTTCTGGGGCTGCGGCACGTGCGCATGCGCTGGCAGCGGTAGCGGCGGCGGCGCGCCGCGCTGGCGCCGGTGGTAGATGCTCTTGTGGTTGTTGAGCGAGTTGAGCGTGCGGAACACCTTGTGGCAGAGACTGCATCGCGCCGAGTGCAGCGGTTGCAGGTGCTGCTGCTCCGTGTGCCGCTTGAGCGTCAGCCGCGTGGACAGCAGCTTGCCGCACACCTCGCAGCGGTGTCCCGCGCCCAGCGGGCCCACTGCGCCACACATAACAACCAACATTAGCACAGCGCATTAGTCCCTATCCCCTCCCTCCCACCCCCCCTACACCGTGCGTCGTATCCAGCACCACGCGACACCCCGCGAGGTCGCATCCAACAGGTCCCATACCGCAGGAACCAATTGGCACAGAGACCGCGAATTTTGAACCTGGCTTTGGCTTGTAGAGGCAATCAACGTGTCTATACATAGTAATCACCGATCTGACTAATGCGCTTAATGAAACGTTGGTGGTTATGTGTGTACCGATAGATAGATGTCCCAATTGGTTCCAGAGAGGCGAGCTCGTGTAAGCGTAGCGCAGGCGCCGCAGCTGCGCCCGCGCACTCGGGCTACACTTACACGGAAGCGTTAATTACAGAGTTTAGTTACGAATATATTATAGATACATAGATATAGTCTGCGATGCGCATGCAAAGAACGAGTAAAACTATGCTATGTACAAATGTTAGGAACATTATCGCGATACAATTGTTTAAACTTAACAAAGATCTACGGCAAGAGTTTGACGTTTAGGTGGTAAGGATGGCAGCTTAGTGTCTTCGAATGGCAACGCGCGTGTCGGTGGCGGGAATGGCGAGTGGGGGCGCGCGCGGGGGGGCCTGGCGGGCCGGGGCGCGCGTCAGTTGACCGGGAAGAACGGCCCCTGGCCGGCGGGCGCGGCTGGCGGCTGCTGCTTGCGGTGGTAGATCGATTTGTGGTTGCGCAGACTGTTCAGGCTGGAGTAAACGCGCCGGCAAATGTTACACACTGGCTCCCTGGAGGGTCTCATGTGAACGTTTTGAATATGTCGTTTAAGCCGCGTCAACGAAGACAAGCTCTTGTTACAGGGCTCGCACCTGTAATCTTCTTGGGGGGTGCGGGCGCCACCTGGTCACAACACAAGCAGTTAGCCCCTTCGAAGCTTCCGAACGCACTTTTAATGCACTCTCTTTATCGTAGCCTCTCTGACTCAAGCACCGCCACCCCCCTTTACATTTGATGATAGCCATCCGACGCGGCGCATGTCAATAATGTCAAGCGGTATTAGTATCGCATACTGTCGTCCTACTCGGCGGCCCTATTTGGCTTAGCAAGCTTACAGCGCGAGCGATGAGTGTGGTGAGTTAAATTCGCTGTTTTCATAATAGCCCGGGACTCGATCTGAGTGCAGTCTCAAATATCCCGAACAAAAGCTTTAAATATTCTTCAATGAAATAATTGAATGTTTTCACATTACCATTACTAAAATTCCATTGTCCAATCTTGAATGTCCCCAGTTATTATTTTACACGTAATTTCCCAAGACAATGTGATTAAGGGTAATTCGAGAATGTTTTTAGAAACACGAATGATTCATGGGATCCGCTGTCTTTGCATTTAAGTAAATAACGTATCCGAATTCGGCCTAACGCGGTGGTCGAATTTTAGGATGCCAATTCGTTTTTGATTTTTTTTAAAAACATTTTATTGATTAACAAACAATTTTGAAGCCAAATATAAGTTTGTTACAAGGTTAAGTGCATTCATGGTAATTATCATAACGAATGAACGTGTAATGGTTTCAAGGAAACGAAAAATAAAGGTGAGAAAGTTTTGAAAAAAAAAAAACTCAAAATCGCAAATTGAAACGAAAACAAAAAAAACAATCTGAGTTGGAGACATGGGAGTGAGTGAGGGATTGTCCTAGCACACATTGTTTCAAGTCACATCTAGAAAACAAGCTAGCATATCTTCATCGTATAGTTATACATTAATCTATAGTTACAGTACAATAAACATGCACGCCACGTTGCGTTTTGGTTCAATGATAAACAGATTCTCATTCCTCAACGTCCAGAGCGTGCAAAAGTCTGATCAAGAAAATGAAAACATATTCTGCCTACGCGTCTCCATCGAACCAGAACACAAAAAGCCAACATTAATAGTTTAATACAGAACACAGAGCACAAAATGAAGACATACATATATAGAGGTTAAGAGGAGGTATATTATAATTAGAATACATAGATTATAAGTATATGTCACGTGATAATTGCCTCATACATTTTGTAAAAATATAAAACCTAATAATGATATATAAACCTAATAATGACAGAGCAGAGAGGAAGCGGTGATGGTGGCATACGACAGACAGTGCATTAAAAATATCGTTTGTTTCAATATATGTAGTAATGCATAAAATAAACTTGTTGCTAGACAAGCTGAGACTCACCTTGAGATGTACTGGCCATGCCGTCTGGAGCGAGTGGACTTGGCAGACCTGAAAGCACCATAACCTTCTTATGCTTTCTGAACTATGAAGTTATATTGTCTATTTCTGAAGTCTGTTAGTGGCTTCAATGAAATATCGTTATGTGTTATATTTTTATGCAGTCTTATTGGGGATTTTTTTAAATTAAAATTGTCATACCTAAATTTCAAAAGAAGAGTGTCTCGCCTAAATTAATGTCCCTAATCGATAGAAAAAAAAACAAAAAAAAACAATATTATACCTACTTATATTTACTCCTACTGCGCATGGCACATCTAACTTACCGGCCAAAGATGGATGCTCAGTGAGTGCTGGATGCATAGTGAAGCTGTATGCATTAGAAGAAGCAAAGAGCTTCGTGTCAGCCGGTTGTATGAAGGGTGAAGGAGGCAGCTGGGGTGGCGGGGTGCGATCGTCAGCATCAGCGGAGCTGCCGCGTGATGGAGGTCCTCCCTGAGACACACAAACGTAGGCACATTAGTTTCCTCCTGCAGGCTTCATATTCTAAAATTAGATTAGGGTTACCTACGTTTTGTAAAAAAATATAGTAATGATGTTATTTACAACTGTATATTTTAAACCGCGTTTAAAATTGGACAGTACATGAATAAACCGATTGATTCTTTGTGTACCAAAACAAATAGTGGCAATTCTGAAAATATACGTCATAAAATAAATTATTTTCATAGGTTTAAATAATAATAATTTAATTATTATTTAAAAACTGAGACCTAATTTTAGCTCAATGTGTTAAAAAACAAACGTAAATTGTCTAATCTATATATTTCAGAAATCTATAATAAACAAACTGGCCCTGAAATGTTTCGAGATTTAATCAAACTTTTCATAACTAATTTAGGCCGGCTCGGATCCAATAGAACGAAATTAAAAATGTTATTAACAAACAAACTCAACAACTATCTAAGTTAGCACGCCAATCTAACTTGGGGGAAAAAAGAAAGTTTTTCTTAAATAAAAGTGAGATGATTTCCCTGGATCTTGGATTAGATTGTGATTTGTTTAGTATCTCTACACAGCGTAAAATAGAACCGTACTTTAACGTATTAACGGTAAACAATGTCAGCAAATAATTATCATCACTTCATTAGAAAGACGTCTGTTGCTGGATATCGTTCTTGGTCTTGCGTTGTTGGTGGGTGGTCTGCTCGCATTTAAGTTAATGGACCAAAAATTTACGTTCTTGATTGATTCGAAAAAAAAAAAAATTTATTTTTCTTGGAATATTCTAAACAGTAAAGAGCTCTAAAATGTCACTTTTTAATTGTTCTATTTAATCGTCATATGAACCGATGTCATTTGACGCTGACGGTTCCGCGTATGGAATCTAGTTCGCTAGACGGTCGTTCTACTCGGTACTGTATAATTCAATGGTGTGACACGTCGCGGAAGTCGTTTTGTTTACTTCTAAGTGACATCGGTTACTGTTACATACCGCAGGTTTAATGTAAGTAGACTCTATCGCCTTACGTCACCATGTCAAGGACTTGTTGCTATTGTTCTAATTTAACAATGCCATTGGATTTTAGATTTAAAATAAACAAAATAGGATCGGTAATATTTTTACTGACATTTACTTTTAGTTGTTTTTGCGAGATGTTAACTATTTGGCAACTTAATTCAAGTCCCATGCGATATGTCTTTGTTTTTTTTTTTGACAACTGAAGACACCGATTCAAGCGCGGCAGTTTGAACAGACAGTTGATAAAATAAATTTAGTTTAAAGTGGTATGCACCAGAATCATTAGTTCGTCCCGTCACTTGATATTATAAAAAAAACGTATAGTATAAATAGTAAGACGTCGCCAACAGTGGTCTAAATAAGAATATTTGCCACAAAAATCTAATTTATTTACATTAAATATGTTTTACGAGATGGTAATTAAACGATTCGTCTATAGATTTCTTCTGTTTAGACAATATACAAAATCGTGCAGAATCATTGTTCTCAATATTCATTTACATTGAAATCGTTATTTCATAATTCGCTGTTTGTCAGCTGTTATCCGTTTATTTCACGTAGTGCTTGTTATAAATATTCATGACTGAGTAGTAGCTGTTTTAACCGACTTCAAAATAAGGAGGTTCTTAATTCAACTGTATTTTTTGGAGTATTACGATTTCTCCGACATTTATTAACCGATTTTGACGAGTCTTTTTTATTGGAAAGGGGGTAGTGGTCCCATTCAAATTTGGATAAAATATTCCACCTCTAAGGGTAGCGAGTTAGGGGATGAACCCGGTTTCGATCAAATGTATTGCGTGTGACCCACTTTTCGTTAACCGACATTAATAAAATTTGTTAAACGTAATTCATATTGTTCCCCACGTTCTCTGGGACGAAGTTAAGAAAAAATTTCAAAGTTGTTTATAACAATAACACCACATTATTATTAAATATGAATAACTCACGTTATTTAATAACTAACTGCCTCCGTGGCCGAACGGTTACCATGTCGTACTGCCACGCAGAGGTCTCAGGTTCGATTCCCGGGCCGGGAAAAATATTTGTATAGCCTAAATATATTTATCTCGTGAGTTTGGGTGTGATTTGTGGTGGTCTATGTGTGTGTCCATGGCACCCGCGACACATGGTTTCCCTAGTGCGGGGCTATGTTGAGTGTGTGCGTTATTATTATTCCTGTAAGTGTTTTAAAAGTCAAGTACTAAGCATATTCGAAATAATTTTGTCGTATTGATTGGAATAAGTTTCATTGGAAAGCGAACTCAGTGCACAAAAACTTAATTAGGACAAAGTATTATTTTAAACAAATTACTCTACACGTACACCCATTTTTATAGGATTCTTTTGTACTTTTTGATTTGCATTTAAGTCTTGATTTACGCCTAGTTAAGTCTATTATTTTTTTTAAATTATTTTATCTGCCTGGACGTAACGACATCATCATCCTTTTTCATCATCATTCGGCTTCGACTTCAACAACAACAACAACGACAACAAGGTGTTTTCCACGTCTTGTTAAAAAAAATTGAATGGAAACCATTTTGGTAACTTTGAAATGTAATTCTCTTATTTTGTATTTATCATAAGATTATTTCATTTCTGTTATCACTCTGTTATATTTATTTTGTCACAAGTTTACCAAATAAAGTACTTTCCTTTCTTTCTTTCTTATTTACACGTTATGCAATGCGTTTTATTTTTAATCGACTTCAAAAAAGGAGGAGGTTCTCAATTCGACTGTATGTTTTTTTATGTATGTTACGCGATAACTCAAATTTGTGAACCAATTTACATGATTCTTTTTTTTGTTGGAAAGAGGGTACCTCCATAGTAGTCCCATTTAATTTTGAAGAAAATCCACCTCTAAGGGTGGCTGTTCACGCATGAGGATTCATTTTTATAAATAGCGCCAAGTAATTTTATTATAAGGAGCAATTATTTTAATGATTGATTTTGCTATTCAAGGTGTTTTTCTCTCTCAATATACTTTGAGTTGTGAGATCCGATTTTTATTACCTCCTGTGTCAATTTCCGTATAATGGCGTACTAGGGGACGAATCCGGGTTTGCGTACTTTCCGGTAACCGACTTCAATAAAACTTGGTAAATATGTAATTCCACGTACTTTAGAGGTCGGGTTTTTTAACACACTGTACTGATAATTTGGTCGAGTATTACTTATCTGACAGCAAATTGCTTCGGACGGATAGAGACCTAGAGTAGACCCCCGAAATATTTGTATGGCCTTTATTTATTTCTCTCGTAAGTTTGGATGTCATTTCTTGTTATCTATATGTATGTACATGGAACCCCCGATACTTTCCCTAGTGCGGTGCTATAAGTGTCTGCGTTATTCAAGAGTTCTTTCAGGCCATTTAAATGCCTCGATAACAGCCGACAGGTTCTTGATGTGATGAAATTACAAAACACTGTATAGGGAATTGCAGGGTTATGGTTTGACACGATAGCTACACTAATTACATTCACTTCCCTTTGTTTTACCGGGAGTCGAACCCGGGTCCACCTATTCCAGCTCACAGTGCACACCGTTGGGCCACCGAATCCTCAAAGTTTAGAGTGTAATTTAAATCTAATGTTTAACGGAGACGAACGTCTGTACATAGGACTTAGTGTTTTCGTGCTTCAATGTTGAAATTTCATTGCAGGTTAATGAAGTTCAAAATGGATGATTTTTACCAACTCACTATAGGTCTGTTATGATGAGGCGGAGTATCATCAGTGCTTCTGTCTATATCAGCGTTAGGACCGCAAATCATGTCTAGAGGCTCATTCTTGACCTCGTCCATCAGCCTTGGGGATGGAGAGGAACTGCTGTTGGATATCCCGTTGCCATTGCCTTGATCGTGACGGGAGTTGTTGAGGAGCGAGTTATTCTTCGTTGAGAAGTCAGTAGCTTGGATTTGTGGTTGTTCCGTGTTGTTGTTGTCGTGACGGACTCGTTTAATGACGTCAGGAGAGTTATCAGCTGAGCGGGAGACGCGGCGCGGGGGCAGAGGTATACGGCGCATCATTTGTGGAAGGCTAGTAGGTGGTTGGTGGGAGAGAAGAGCCTCCTCCAACTTATCGGTGTAGGAGGGAGTGTGAGGAGTATGTGATGGGTGCGGCGGGGTGTGCGGGGAAGAGGCGGCGGCGGCGGCGCGCGACAGGCTCTGCAACAGTGGCTGTGGAAGAAAGAAGGTGTTAGTTTTTAAACGTATACGCGGTTATTCCGGTACTTGTGAACGATTTTGATGATTTTTTTGTTGGAAAGAGGATACCTCGTATCGGTCTCATTTAAATCTGAATGATGAATCCGGTTTCGTGCACTTTCCGGTAACCGATTTCAATAAAACTTGGCAAATAGATTTAATTCCACGGACTTTGAGGTCTTTTTTTGTAAAAAAGTTATGCTGGTGTGCTATTTGAAGCATCAGATTCAAACCCATAGGGGTAACAAAAAGGATCTTAGTGGCGTCCCATTTAATAATGTTACTATACTGAGCAGACCCTTCTTTCTTGGAGAGGCATATAGTCTATAAAGTGCCCATGACTATATAGGTGTACCGTTTTGAAACGAAAATAAAAAGTGACAGATATAACATTAATACGAGAAATAAAAACAAACTATTTGACAGGTCGTCAGAAAGTCTCAAATTCATTTAAGGGGAAATGAATAATAAGATTCCGGTTGTTATTCATAATTTGCTATTGATGAGGTCGAAAACTATAGTGAAACAAAAATTTTATTCTAAAGGTTATTTCTTCAGTTTCTGCGTACTTAGATGACAAAAATCCGTGGTAGTGACCCGTTTAGCTCTTCCGGGTACTCTCGCTCTCAGACGTGTTAAATAAATATTGTAAATGATAAATGTATCCAAATGTATATTTACGAAGAGCAACTTAACATTTAAAAAGAGAATTTCTAGCTATCTATCTTAGTTAATTTCTTGTTTGATTTTATTCCCACCTGGTACAATTTTAATTTCTTTTTCTTCTATTTATTGTATTATATTGTTGCGTGTGTGTGATGTAGGACAATTGTAACTATTTAACTTTGACAGATGTGTGGGTAAAAGAGAATATGCAAGACTCACCCCTTGAGCATCGTCATTCTGTGTGAGCCCAGAGACACGCAGGACTTCAGCGGTCTTCAAGAATGAGGAGAGGCTGCGTTGATGGACATTGACCTCGCCGTGGTAGATGAATTCAACCAGCGCGTGCAGGTCCGTGAAGGCTACATCCTGGAGCACTATGACGGGGTGCTTGCATGGTGTTGACTGGGGAAGAAACATCTTATTAGTTGTAAGTCTTAAGACAAGATGAGCTGGTAAGAAAGGAGATACGATCTGGCTAGGCGACACTTTAGAATGTAATCCGGTTGGTATCATTCAATGAACGCTGGTCCTCAAGCCATACGTCCCACTGCTGGCCATGGGTCTCCTCTCAAGCGAGATTTTACACGTTTTTCGGAGGGTTGTGAATCTTCTTCGACGTGCAGGTATCATCGCAATGTTTTCCTTCATCGAAAATTTAAAATAAATTTTGCACATGAATTCCAGATTTCAACCCAAGGACTCTGAACGGCACACAATGAACGTTGAGTTGAATGTTTTTCATTTATTGCAATTTACATGTATAGTACAGGTCAGTGAGCTTAAAATTATAATAGGTAGCAAATTAAATTAATTATATAGGAACAAACGTTCGTTCCGTGGCTTAGTTGGTATAGCGTCTAGCACGGTATGCTAGAAGACGTCGGTTCGAATCCGGCCGGGTCGAAGAAATTTTTTCTGAGTCTTCGATCTTTGTATTAATAATTGTATAGGAATATACATAATTAACTGACATATTGCATCATTACTTCTATAATTATTATTATAGGTACATTTATATCTTATTACAATTGTTTGTTATATAGTAATTTATAATTAGTTGTACAGACAAATAATGATTAAATTAATTATTTAATCAAACACTTTTGTCATCAAAAAATTTAGACACAATGATTTTTTTTGTGACTCATGGTGTTCATTTAGGTATCTTATGACTATGACTCAGTTTACTTTGTCACGAAACGGAAAAGAAACTAATTTTTAACCGACTTCAAAAAAGGAAGAGGTTTATTTATTTATTTGTTTATTATAAACATAACAAAATTTACATAGGTATAATAAACAATTGGTAGGTTCTTTTTTGCATGTATGTTACGCGATTTTTGCATGTATGTTACGCGATAAAACCGGCGATTTGTAAACTGATGTTGATGATACTTATTTTGTTGGAAAGAGGACACCTCAGTAGTACCATTTAAATTTGAAAATATTCCACCTCTAAGGGGTGGCAACCGACTTCAACAAAACATGGCATATAGATGTAATTCCACGGATTTAATACAAGCGATGTGTAAATTGAAGATACATGGTTCCGGACCTCATTCTATGTCAATAAAAATCTATAACAAACTCCCAGAATATTTAAAATCAGAATGTAACGTAAACAAATTCACAAATGTATTGTAAAAATTATTAATTTCTAAGAGTTATTACGACGTGGACGAGTATCTCCAAGATAATTTATAATTAATGTCTGGCACACTCCCTTTCCTAGTTGCGATGCCTGTCAAGGTGTGCATGTGTTTGTTAAAGTATAAATATCGACTCATCCGAAGAACAGAGTCCGATGTGATTATATAGCGAAAAGAGAATAAGTACGTTTCTAGAATAATTTCGTTACTCAAGTAAAGATGTTTTGAGAATTTATATGTCTTATTTCGTTTCGGAAATACAAATTGGAACAACGATCGATCTGACATCCACAGCGAAGAAGAACGAACAAAATGTACTATGTCCTGAGAACAAGTAGTCTTGCACATAGATCTTTGTTCTACGAATGAGTCGGTATATTCATAAGTATATTTTTGTAACGACAACACATGTAAAGCACTTATAAATAAATAAATAAACTTTTTTTTATATAATAAATCTCGTTCATTCTCATGAGATAAATGGGAGACGGACAGGAGACAAAAATCATTGTTGCGATTTATTGATAGTTAGTTATCTTTATGAAAAGATGTTGTTCAAAAGTGGAATGTAATAAAGTGATAATATTCACGCAATATTAATATCGATCAAGCACGAAATGGAGTTTAGGTACAATACTATTCAATATCAGCAAGATTTGCTCATTGTTTTATTGATGAAACATTGTTCACCAAATACGTCAATAATCAATGTACTGTATAAACATAATGTTGAATTTCGCCGCTGATTGTTATAGTCAGGTTGGCCGAGTGGTCTAAGGCGCCAGATTTAAGCTCTGGTTCCCGAGAGGGAGCGTGGGTTCGAACCCCACACCTGACAATTCCTTTGTTCTTTTTCTTGTTTTTTTAATCATGTGCAAGAAGATTAAGGTTGTCTTGGTTTTGTGAAGGGACGAAGCGAAATCATTGCGGTGGTGGTTTTGCCATATCATTACGGTGACGACTGTGCTCCGATTGGCTAGCCCGAATTCGGAAACAATTGACGGGTGTCGTCAATTATTTCACTTCATTTCGACCAGTTTTACTTGAGCTTTGCTATAATGGACGAAAATAGAAAAATTACATCTTTTTAATTACAGATAAAATGTGATTCCGTTTGTTTTATAATTAGTTGTTTTGCATTTGAATTTGTTTTATCGAACAAACCAACGTTTCGGGCCCTTATCGGCTGATTGGTCTAAGGTATGAGACCTGTAAGGGCCCGAAACGTTGGTTTGTTTGAAAAAAAAAACAAATATACGCGATTTAGAATCGAAATAATAGTTTCGTTTCCTATGAGTAACCATCGCGAAAACCTAAGAATTTAATGTAACGCTATAGATTTGAAAGCGTTAAGGCAATAACTTTTGATGATGATGAAATAAATATTGTTTTAATTGTTTAGGATCATGGTCATCTGAGAGATGTTTGATGAGATAATTTTAAGCGACGTCTTCAACACTTGTAAATTATTTTTTATTTTTCATTTGTTTGAATTTATTTTTGTCATGAATTATTTTCGCAATGAATAATTTTTAATATTATCGTATTTTTTTCAAATTATTTTGATTATTTCGTAATATTATTAATTCATAATTCATTTGTTAATTCCCTTATTTTATATTATTTTCATCATCGTTCAGCCATACGACAGATACATTGTTTTGATATTGTTTTGATCAGTTGTGTGTAATTATATGATTTTTTTTTCTTTGCATGAGCTGTGTGTGTAATTGGATAGCAATCGCAAAGAGTTGCATAGATAATATTATTTCAAGTAAATGTCACTTGTGTATCTGTAATTGTACCATATTGAATAAATAAATAAATCTATTTAAACTCCTTGATTTGATATCCTAACTTTTGACAATTTCTTACTGCTTTGATCAGTTTTTTTTCAAAAAGGTTTTAATATGTAATGTAAGGTGTCCATAATGTCAGTATTAATTTGGGATTTATAACAATTTGTTAATGTAATTTATCGAGTATATAACCAGAAATAGAAATGAAATATGTGCAATATATTCCTGGTAACACATTAGCGATACAGCTCTTATAAATATCAACTCCCGTTTGCACTGAAATATAGACAGGCCAACTACTGAACTGTGTAAATTTCAAAAAATATTCTGTATTTATTGTAATAAAGATAATATCTCTAGCAATGCCGTGCTGTTCAATTCGGTGGTATGGAAAGAACAGCAAAACATCTAATTACAAAACAAACAGAATCACATTTCATCGGTAATTAAATATTAAATATATAAATTTTTTTTGTCCATTATAGCAAAGGTTAACTGGTCGATTTTAAGTGAAACAGTTGACGACACCCATTGACGATACCCGTCAATTGTTTCGAACTCAGGCTGGCCAATCGGAGCGCAGTTGTCACAGTAATGCAGAATAGTTTTCAAACAAATTAAATGACATTTCGTCTCTATTTCTGGTTATATACTCGATGATGTAATTATTTAGAAGAGAATATGAGTTAGGAACAATGGGTCAGGGTCACGACCCCGCAGTCACCCTGTATAAATTGGGTTACAAAATTGCCGGCAGATTTTTTGTTTTCTGAAGAATGTTTAGCAGGTTACTGATGGCCTTGATTGCGTTACCGGGAAAGGGCGAGTTAAAGGCTCTTAAGGCCCGTCAATAAGCCTACGTAGGCACGGACTTTGGCCCAGGACACTAAATGAAAGAACCAGCTCAAGTAAACACTGAATCTGGTTGGTCTCTAACGCGTCGAAATTTGTGAAGGTCATTGAGGAAATGTTAACCGAGTATCTTGTGGTTGAGTTAAATAATTTTGCTTTTGTTAGACGTTGGAATAGAAAATGAAGATAAGGATATTTAGTTTCCGTTATCGTGCCATGATTTGCAAATGTTATGAGATAACTAATTACGACGTAATATATAGGGAAATACCTTCTGATGTACATAAAAAAAATTTGAATACATAGATACTTTGAAACAAAGTAGAAAAACTTCCAGAGGAATATTGCGTCATCGCAAACATCCCCCTTTGTCTTAATTCAATCTGTCGTCGACATAGAACAAGTGCTAATTAGTTGACGTTTGTAGTCCCAGATACTCATTCCAATTACTAATGATGTTACCAGAGGATCATATAAAAATGGTGTTTTGCTTAGTATCGATGCCGGTCTTTCGGGATGTTCTGGGTCGGGAGGGACTTACTCAACTTTCAAAGACATATCTTGCGATGGAATTGCGCAATTTAATTCCACCGTCCAATTTCCATTATCGGGGGACTAGACGTAGGCTTTGTTACGGCTATGGAGTGGAATCCCCTGTCTGTTGACTTATTCCCTGAACGCCATAATTTTACCTTTTCGAGAGTGAATAGACATTATTTAGGAGTGAACGCTCCATAGTAGATGAGATGGACGTCAATTTAACTGCCTCTTTGACCGAACGGCTGCCTTGCTGGTCTACCACGCAGAGGTTTCGGGTTCGATTCCCGAGTCGGGAGAAATATTCGTATTGCCTATATTTATTTCTCTCGTGTAATTTTTGGTTGTCTATGTGTGTGTCCATGACACCCGCGATGCGGGGTTTCCAAGTTAATGTGTATGTTACAAAATTAAAAATAAATATTAGTATTGATAATATGTTACGCGATAACAATTTTGTGAACCGATCTGATGATTCTTTTTTTGTTGGAATTGGTTACCTCAGTATTGGTTCCATTTAAATTTGAAGAAAACATTCCACCTCTAAGGGTGGCAAACTAGGGGATGAATCCGGTTTCGTGCACTTTCCGGTAACCGATTTCAATAAACCTTGGCAAATAGAAGATATTCCACGAACTTTTGGAGTCGGTTTTTTTAGTACTCTGCACTGAGATTATGTTTATAAAAAAAGAAGATTATTTACTATATGTGTTGGTTTGGTACTTACTTTAAGTAGCTCTCTGAAGTAAGGGCTGCAGGCCGAGAGCACCACTCTATGCGCTTTCAGGCTCTTGCCGTCACAAGCGAGGGTAACGTCGACAAAGTCCTCATCATCGCGGAGGTTCTCAAACGCGCTGGTGATGCTGCTCTGGTAGTTGTTCCACCGGAGACAAAAGTGCTGTGTGTCCACCATTTTGGCTAGTACGTCATGTGGGGGGATCTGCGAAAGGAGGGACTTAGTCAGTATTTTGTTTGTTGGTATTCAAAAAGAGCATGAGAGTAGTGATAAGTCCCATAACTTTTTACATAAGTTTTGTTTATAGTGACTCTCCCTAGCGAGCAAGCCCGCACAGAGACTATCTAAGTCAGGTCCTAACCCCAGAACAGCCCGTTTGCACAGACTTCCTGCGATTTTTTGTAAGGCTAATGCCTTAGGTGAGCCGCCCCGGGTGCACGTACAGCACCCTTATTTTCCTGATAGGTACCTGAGCTGTAGGCACGCTCGCTACCCGTGGCATTCTACGGAAAGTCAAATAATCATTTATTCCATAGGTAAAATTTTTACACTTGAAAACGTCTTTTTTTAAGCTACTGCTCGTTGCGGACCACCTTGAGGAGAACGAGCAAGAGACTTTAGGGATTGCTCTTTTCAAATAAACTTAAATGCTATAGAATACATTTAGAACCATATTTGTGTGAAATCTAGACTCACGTTGTCTTTCCACACGTCTTTATCTAATTCGTAGTCTACAATTTTGTAATATGACTTTTCAATTAAAATACTTAACGAACTAACGGTTGCCACCGCCGAGCCATCGACTATAAGTCTACCAAATCTCCTCATTGGTGGTGGAGATGTAAGACACGCTTACGTCCCGACGCCGGAAAACGGCATCTCTCCGCTCTCAAATTCTCCTACGCGGCTAGAGCGATCGGAGGATGTCCAGCTCATCACATTACTGCTTGGCGGCAGAAAATAGTTCCCTGGGCGAACTCTTTTACAAGGCTATACATATATAGATACAAACCCACACTCGCAAAAGAATCTAAAATGTTATATTTTACTCTGTTTTGACTCAGGTATCTTTTGAATAGCGGAATATGTCTATCTTTTGCAGAAAAGACAGACAGTTTCTTCTTTCAGTGGCAATGCAACGCATGGCGGACACAGCTAATTATTTATAAAATTGATAGATATAAAAAATGGGTCGCACCGATAATTTATATGCATATTACTACGTATATGTAGTAATGTTTTTGCATCTTGTTTATATGGTACGATAGATAATAATTATAAAAGTGTAACACTATTGAATTATTGCCAGTCTGCCCTATTTTTTAGAGTTGATTCAAGAGCTTTGATAAAGGACAATGTTTTTTGTTGTTAGGCTTTTAAATATAAAATTATTTTAATTACGTTTTTGTTTCTCGGTGTATTTTTGAAATATTCGAATTAGGTTTCAAAGTATTCAAATTTGAATCCTAAAGGGGATTAATATTTAGTTGCTGCCTACAAACGTTATATTGTAGTCTTTGAAATAAATTCATACAAAATTGTGCCTGATTTCCGCGGCACTAACAAATAAATATTTACTAAATGTGTTTTTGTTTTTTCTGTGCAATAAATGATTAAATATATAATTTTAAAAAAAGTTTCTCACGTGAGTTTGTATGTAATTTGTGGTTGTTTATGTGTATGTCCATGGCACCTGCGATACAAGGTTTTCCTGGTGTCCTATGAGTGTGTGCGCTATTATTATTACTTTAAATATTGCAGAAGCTTAGAATTGTAACTATCACAGATTTTTAGCTATTCTACATAGCACCTTATTTCAATTATTGAATTTAGAATGTAGTAATAAACAGTTTAATTTTAATTTTATGTTTTAATTTAGCGTTATCTTTTATTTATTATTTTTCTTACTGTGCGTTTTGTGTTGTGGCGTAGTAATAAATTATTTCTATTCTATTCACTTATATTCTATTCTAATAGCACCCTATTTCAATTTTTGAATTTGGAATATAATAATAAATAGTTTAAATTATAAGTTTTTTTGGTATTTTTTGTGTGTTTATGTTAGTGGCACACTAGGTCCTTTAGGATCGCGCAAGCTAGTGGAGTGCAATTCTGAGGGTAGATATTAAATTCAATATATTACATTTGAAATAAGGTATAAATTTCAATGCTCTGAGACGCCGATGTACCGAGGTCTCAAGAGCATTGCAATTTACACTTTTTTTCTTATATGATACCAAGTAACGGTACGAACAAGCCGTGCGCCTGGTGGTAAGCGACACGCCTGTTCATAACAGTTGCAGTGCCACTCAGAGCTTAAAATCGCATTGATTAAAAGGGGCACTGCCACTGCGCCCATCACTTTGGAACATAAGTTGAGAAGTCTCATGTGCCCGTAATTTCACCAGCAAAAGCAGCAAACCTTAACCCTTCAAAACCGAGTACTGTCAATGTCGTTATACAAGTGCGTAGTCAACAAATTTGTTGCTTACGTTCTATTTTGATAATGACTGTTCGAATTTTTAGAGAGTTCCAAGAAATTTGTTTGCAAGCGCTCTGTAATGACTTTATATGACTGCTTGGTGTTTGGATTCTGTAACTTTTTTTTACGAAGAAAATTTCGTAATTGACTTTAGTTTTTCACGTTTCAAAGGCTTCTGTTAGCAAAACTTCGTTTTATTTAAAAAGTGTTTTTTTTTATAAGTGATTCCAGATTGTCTTGGGTAGGTGTTATGTGATTGTGACGAAATCCCACTGATAGGCACGGGTCTCCCGCACTAAAGCGTAAAGACCGTTTTAAACCGTATTATTTTCTATTTTAACATTAAGTGTCGAAAGTACCTCATCTCGAATTCAAATTAATGTTAGTATTATTAATAATATTAAAAAATAAAAATGTTTTATTCGTTCATTTTAAAGGGCATAGTACAGGGGCGGATGTTTCCATTTAGGCTTGTTTTAGGAAACATCGCTCTTCTATAATATTAATAGTAATCTTGCTTTTATATTATTTTTAATATGATGAATCAGACCACCTTAATATCTACTATAACTGGTGTTACAATTAATACAAAGTGTTAGTGTGTGTAAGTGCAAGTATTTGTATGTGTCTATAAGTGTGTAATTGTGTGGAATGTGTACATGTGTATCATCCATCCGTAAGACGTACAATATCAAAAATTATACATTGTCATACCATGTTAATATGTCCCGTACTAATAAGGTTCGTTTTGCTAAATGAAATTAAAGTAATTTGAAAAATACATATCGTTTACTATACGCTGTATGTCATTTGAAATTTAGAATACGTTTAATTTTAATATTTTTTGTCTCCATGTTGAATCCAAATTTCTGTCTTATTTTTTTGCTTTTAAATTATCACTTTTTCAATTACATTTTCTGCTTGTTGTAACTATAGGTGCATTCCATGTTTTATGGAGAACATAAACCAAATTCTTCGACGACTTGGTGGTGGATTTTTAATTTAAAGCAGTACAAAATTTATAATAATTTTCTAATATTTTTAACTAAAATGTTCGCGGTTAAGAAGTGACCACTTTGTTTATTTCGAAAGTTCCCCGAATGCATTCTTACAGCACTAACTTTTTATCTTACACCCATAGCTCTAGTACAATGCCTGCATTCAATTTTACAAACATCTATTTGCTTTCCATCTAACCTAATCTTACTCTTGTCGCCTTCGATTTAAGAACTATTATTCGCAGTTCTAACGACAAAATCAATTTGCACTATGAGCAAGTAATTTTGCGTAACTCTTGACACAATATGCACTTTATGACACAAACAACAAGAGTGTTCAAGAGGTTTTACAAGTGCAAAATGTCGACAAGTGAATTGACAAACTATTTTGCGTTTTATAAATTGTAATCAGCACCTTATTGTGACGGATTTAAGAGTGTTTGAATAGCAAAATTCTTGTGCGGTTCGAAACGAAGTTTTCAAACATGTAGTAGACAATACGGCACAGTGACCAGATTTCATATTAGCTGGACAATGAGGGGTGTAAGGTTACTTGCGCCGGCGCATTGCTATTATGTCAGTAGGTGTATATCATCTAATTTATCACTCAATGATCGACAGTGGGATTTTCAAAAGTGTGAATCTTATACATGTACGAGGGCGGTTTAACAAGTATGAGATTTTGAGAAAAAAAAAACATTTAAAAAAAAATTATGATTTGTTTTTCTACGTAATCTCTTTTGAAATCTATACACCTTGGCCAGCGATATCACAACGTCTTCAAACCATCAAAAAAAATTTTTTTTTTAATCTAAAAAAAAGCCTCTAATTTCAGATTTCAACTACCACTTTTGTATTTAATGCAAATCGGTAAAAAATCAGATCATAATTCGACAAGTTTTGATGTTCTGATTGCAGATGAAAAATGGAATACTCGAAATTCGGTTTTCTCCGTTTTCAAAATATATATCGATCTCGCCAATATCTTTTCCAATTTTTCTATTTTCGCGCTAACTGTTAAAAAGTAACGTCAGTTGCTTACTAAGGAGTCCTAAAGTAAGAAATAAAAAAAATTCCGAAAAAGATTTTATTTAACATTAAAGTCACCTGTTTATAAAACCGCCCTTCATACTATTGGCAAAGTTGGATCCATTCCTGTTCCAAACCTGTTTCTTTTGCAGGTGCAGATTGTAGCTCTTGTTTTAGTGATAATTTTTTTCTGAAAAATCTTTTCTTTATTATAAAAATATAACCTATCCCTCAAAGGAACAAAAAAGTACGGCTGGCTCTTAAGGTCCAAAAGTATTGATTTTACTGACAGCACACACAAAATTGAGATTATTTTCAACACTGTATATGATTTTATAAAATGTTCTAACTAAATGTCGAAGAAACCTATTAAACGTGCTCCTTTTGCATATGTAAAATTTTGTTTTCCCCGGGCTGTTTGGAACAAATTATAATTTAGCAAAAAGGTCGCCTCTTATACATTGATATTTTTCTAATATACTAACTACTAGAAATTAGAAACACTAGCGGTTTCTTATTCATTTTTCCCAGGAGAATCCGCCTTATGAATGAGTAGTAGAGTTAACTCAAAAAAGAAAATTATGTTCTAAATTGCTGTGAATATCATTCATTTCCGTATATATTGTAAGCTCCATGTATACTCTATTGTCTAATGCACACATATGTAAGTTAAAATAAATATATTTCAGTAATTT